AGTAAGTTTTTTCATTTGGAAACCCCTCAGTAGATAAAACTAGAGAATTCATCATCTTTTTCAGCAATCGTTAACATTTACACCAAAATAATAAATCAATATCTATCAAGCACACAGCATGTAAGATATATGTAGTCATATCAATGTCTGATTTTCAGTATATTAACATGATTCATTTTGGAAAAGAGATATTTTGGATACTATCCAATTATTTTATTTACTTGACAACATTTTAAACTTAAGTTAAGCTGGATTTTACAACAACATATGAGCTTATGCTAAAATCAATTGTATAGGGTTTACCATAGGAAGCAGTGAAATAAATTTTCCATTATCTGCACAGACAGAAGTAGCTGAATTAGTGGATGTCATTATTAGGCCATCTAGAAATTCTGAATAAAGGCAAATACAGAAAACACACTGATTGTATAAAATGCATGATTAGCACAAGGTCAAAACAGGGCTAGGTAGCCTTTTCAACAAACTTACAAAATATTTTATACATTTCAATTAATATTTTGATGAGAATTGCATAAGCTGTCATTCTAAAGTTACACAACTTATCACAGTTGTAGGAGTCATTATCTTACTGCTATATTCATATGTTTTCTAAATTTTGATTATTTCTTAAAGTGCCTTTTGTTCTTTACTTTATTTTAAAATGCATTGATGGTCAGTCTTCTCTCCACCCAGATATTTTAGTAACTCCTTCTGTCATCAGATAGTCTACAAGCTATTTTGGGTAAAAGGTAACATACAAAAGGCAGAATTAGAAAGCTACAATGCAATCAAAGGGGGAATTAAGCTAATTTGTATCAGAAATAATGGGGAAGTTGGGGGTGAAAGGGTGGATGAGATAAGAAGAGAACAAAGAGATAATAAGTGATTAAAGAATATGGCAGGGTGGGCACGTGATTTTTAAAAGGAAGGTGATGCAAATAAGTTACAAGGTTTTTGTTGGTTTTCCTTGTTATTTGCATCTGTTATGTAAATGTTCCTTCTCCTACAATCCATTGCTCAACTTTCCACCTGAGCTGCAATCCACCAGTGAATCCTATATGAGTGCATATTTTTGTTTGTGTTCATGGAAATTTAAGAAAGGGAACTGGCTCTAATTTGTGATCACTCCAGAGGAGAGTTACAGAGCAGAGAGTAAGAATCCATAATCACAGGTAATCATCAGAATATAACTTCCCTACAAAGTCCCAGTCCTAGTACTCTTGAGAATACTACAGTATTCTCAATGCTATGGTATATATAAGGAAGAGTGGCCTAACCTTATTTAGTCATTAGAAGGCATGTATATATATAGTACATAGTCTATGTTTTCAAAATCCTAGAACACTACTGTGTGTGTGTATGTGTGTGTGTGTGTGTGTGTGTGTGAGTTTTGAGTAATAAAAGGTTAGGTGATACAAAACCATGAAAGTCTCAGAACTATTCTTCAGTTCCCATGTATCTTAAAATGTAGCTCAGAAGGAGCTCTGTTTAAAAAGTAGCGATACTTTTGGTTCCAACCATAATGAAGTAGCTTACATTGAACTCTTATCAAAAGTAATTATAAAGCTGGAAGAATACATAAAATCATGACCTGAGGACACTGAGAGCAATCAGTTTAGGTAAGGCTTCAATGGCTGTGGTACCTGAAAAGGGAGAAGCTTACATTTAGCCAGATATTTTTCTGAGGGCATTTGCTATTTTGGTGTGGAGTAGAATAGAGGACACTACAGGCTAAGGAGTCAGAGAACAAAATGCAGGTGAACCAAATTGTGCAGGATTTGAAGAGTAAAACCTCAGAGAAGATGTAAATTACATCAATGTTCGCCTTGAGGTATTAGCCAACTCCTCATATAAACATGCAAGAACTAATATTCCACAAAACATAGTTGAAAACAGCAGCTGCAAGCTGAGTTACTGAAGAGTAATTATGCCAGGTATGTGGTACTGGAGGTAGAAGTCCAGGCTGTGCCACACAGGCGGGGCCTTAGTAAAAGTATCCTAGAATGTTTTGGTTGAGACTAAAGAAAAAGTGTTTTAGGAAGAAAGGCTACACATCAGGACCAAGGGCAAAACTGTAGAGGACCAGACTAAAAAGCCTAAGATGAACTGTGAAAGGACAAATGAGATCTGCTGACACTATATTTGCTTACTTATTTAGAGGAAAATGACCTAAATGAACTTTCTTTAGCAATATCTACATTTAAATAACATTATGACAATTGCTTTCAAAAAGAAAATGAAAACTGGAGAGGAGGTGCAGACAGAGAGAAGGGCTTGGAAGAGAACAGGCAATGAGAATTGTTATAGAAGATGATAGAAATATTGGAGTTAAATGTGCAAGCATTTCAAAATTATCATGACTGACGTTCCAGCAAATAGAACAAAGGATAAAAAAATTTATTAAAGACAAAGATCCCTATTTAAAGAATGAAATTAGATCATCATGCCATACCATATTAAAAAATCTACTCAAAATGGATAAGCAACTTAAATATAAGACCCAAACCTGTAAAACTCCAGGAAAAAACAGGAACTCTCCATAACTTTGGTCTGGGCAATGCTTGTTTGAGATAATATTCCAAAAACATAGGCAACAAAAGCAAAAAAAGACAAATCCGAGAACACCAAATTAAAAAGCTCTGCAGAACAAAAGACAAAATCAACAGAGTAGAGATAATCTATGGAATATTTGCAAACCGTGGGTCAGACTGGGTTTAATACTCAAAACACATAAACAATTCAAACAATTTAATAGCAAGAAAACAAATAGCCTGATATAAAGATGGACAAAGGATCTAGGTAGATATTTGTTCAAAGAAGACATACAAAATATCCATAATCATCAAGGAAGTGCAAAATAAAACTTTTATGAGATATCATCTCTCAGCTATTCGAAGGGCTATTATTATTAAAAAGAAGAAAAAGGAGAAGTTTTGCACAGTGCTGGTGGGAATGCAAATTAGCAGAACTGCTATAGAAAACAACACCATGATTTCTCAAAAAATTAAAACTATTACACATCCAGTAACTCCACTACTGGCTATTTATCCAAAGGAATTAAAATGTGACTCTGTACCAGATATTTGTATTTTCATGTTCATTACAGCATTATTTCTAATAACCAAGACATGGAATCAGCTTAAATGTCCAAAGGATGAATGGATAAAGAAAATGTGGTACGTATACACACCAGAGTACTATTTACACGTTAAAAAGATTATCCTGTTACTTGTGAAAACATGGTGAAACAGGAGAATATTGCTGTTAGTGAAATAATCCAGGCACAGAAAAACAAATCTTGCATTATCTCACTCATATGTGGATGCTAAAAAAAAAATCCATCTTATAGAAGCAGAGAGTAAAATGGTGGTTCCTAGGCACTGCAAGATGGATGGAGCTATTAGTCAAAGGTTATAAAATTTCAGTTAGGAAGCATAACTTCAGGATATCTATTTTACCATATGGTGACTATAATAATGATGTATTGTACCTTTGAAAATTGCTAAGGATATATTTTAAAAGTTCTCACTATAAATACGTGATAAGTATTTGAGGAACTGCAGACATTAGTTTAATTTAGCCATTCCATAATGTACACACATTTAAAAACATCATGCTGATATCATATGTACTAATTTCACAGTAAGAATCATTAAAATTTGAGTCAAATAAAAAGAGATTAGATTCTAATATGTTCCATCTTCCCACACTGAGAAAATTGGCTTCTTTTCCTGTCCTCATTTCTTCTTCCCATTTGGGTTGCTTCTACCCCTTAACTCATTCTAAATCTTAAAAAATAGTGGTCATTCTTACTTGTTGTGGAGAAAAAATGATACCCATAGTTTTAAAAGTCATCTATTGAATGAAATCCATGAAAATGATTTCAAGAAGAGACAGCCTATTTAATAAAGAGTATAGACTGAAATCTCACACTCTCAAATTCTCTCAGCCACCTACAAATTTGTGACTATTTGTCAGTCCAAATCTCAGACTATTATTTCATAGAAATAGACTGAAGCTTACCTTGAAGATACGCTTTGAGCACTGAGTGAGATACTTTGTACAGGAATAGGGCTTGGTACATAAAGGGTTGCCAGTGATACTTTCTGTGTTGTTTGCGCTCATTAAGAGAAAATCATATGAAAAACTCATAATCATTGTCTATGCATCTAATGTCACTTTTCCAACCAAGAAGAAGGAACATGCAGTTTGAATTTTCTTTACACCTTTCCAAGTGGAGACTGTTAGTGACTACCAAAAATACCTACACAATATATGTTAGTCAAAACCATAGCTTCTGAAACCCCTAAAAAATTGAGTCTTACAAATGTCTGGAACGAGGCATTGTTTGTTGTAGAATGTTATGCATGCACTAGCTTGACTTCGAACAATCATTCCTACGAAATCATTTGTCTGTGACACATCAAACGAGGTCATTTATGTTCATGACAGGAAAGTTGTTTGCATACACTGAAACCAGTAGCAAATTTATAAGCATAAAATGTTCATTATGCTTTCAGCATGACAATCCTGGGCTGCAATCCTGTTATCCATATGTAGTTGTTTGACACTAGCTTTGTGTACTGTTGTAACAAAAAGATTACTTGTAAGCAAAATCCACGTCAAGAAATTGGAATAGTGAATAACCACAAACATAGCACAGTCTGGACTATGTACTTTATCAGAAAATCTTTAAATTTTGAGGAAATCACAAATCTCCAGCTGAATATTGTGTATCACTGAAATTGATTCTAGTTATAAGTACATGAAAATAAATAAGAAAGAAACTGGAGTTGAGGGAACTCCCCTATACACATTTCCTTGGTATGTTGGTTAGCAAAGTACAGGTTTAGTTTCTAGTTAACTGTTCAATGACTCAAGCAGTGGCTGAATAATTCAGAACTTTTTGAAGTGAGGTTATGACATCTGCTTTTACAGTCACAAATGATTTCCAAACCATGTGATATTAGAACTCAGCACTAATTAGTAAAGAGACTTACATCACTCTCATGCCCTTCCCGTAGGTTGTATGTGAGGTCATGCTGAATGTCTTCCACGAATTTGTGAGCGTATTCTGGGTAAAGGTCTAGCACTTCAAAGAGTCCTTTGAGGATGATGCACTGGAGATCACAGTAGGTTAAAGCCTTCACATCTGCATTGGTCTTGATCACTTGGTCCTTAATTGATAGGTTTGCTCCAATTAAGTCCCCTTTCCCTAGGAAAAAAAAAATCCACAAAAATAAAAACAAAACAAATCCAACAACAGGGAGAATAAAGCAAGATTAGGACTAATACCTTCATTTGATTTACAGATTCATTTCTCTCAGATTACACTGAAAAGACAAGAATCTTTATCTCAGGCAGAGTTGGGATTCGGGGCTCAATAATACTGAGACAGTATCCCTGTCTACCAGTCTTAGGCTGGAATTCACTTGCCTGGGAACTAACTTGTTTGTTTGAGTTCGTTGATTAGGTAATATTGCACAATTTACTTGAATCTTTTAAAAACCTTTAAATTGATATAATCAGTTTAAATTGACAGAAAGGGGAGCATAATCATAAATGCTCTGGATTTATTTTAAACACAACCATTAATTCAGCCAAAAGCCATGTGAAAAACATGAAAGAAAATCCACTAAATTTTTAGACAAGTTTAGGATAAAAGCAGACGTTCACAGAGGACACTGACCCTAAATCATTCATGACTACAAATTCGGAGTTTATGAGTCTTTGCCCACAAAAAGCATCAGGTCTGGACTTTAAATTTAATTATTTTAATGGTCATTTTGATCTATTTCAAATGAAACCACCAATAACAATTGAAAAACAACAATAGCAAACACCAAGCAAGATATAATTGTAATGATATTAAACCAAATTACTCCCATTCCCCATTCAAAATTTTTTTAACTTTTAACATTTTTATGTTCTGTTGTGCTCAGAATTGGTGGAAACAAAGTCCCTGGCACATAGCCAGCTTCAATAAGAGTCTATTTTATTTAATTTGTCAGTCAAAAAGACATGTCAAATTAACCATGAGCACTTGATGTATTCATATTTATGGCAGATCAAAAAAATCACAGGTTTCTAAATCATTGAATTATATGTAGGCATCAACTTCAATTTAATACTGAATTTAAACTTTCAAACTGACAGGAGAAAAAAACAGACTGAAATCTGTATTTACAGTCACTAAGAGATGATAAATGGCCCCGTGCGGTAGAAGAATTTAAGTTTGATTTATTGTTGTCGCCAATATTGCTAAACTTGGAAATTTTGTTTTCTGCATATTTTATTACAAATCTAAATTGCTCCTCAAATACTCAAAGTCAGGTACTGATGCAAGATGTAAATACAGACAGGATGTCTTGAATAAATTTTGAAATGTGTACACCTAAGGAGAATTTACCATGATGAAGTGTCTTGTACACTGAGCATTCACAGTTTCTGTGAAGCAAAAAGTATTTGGAAGAACTTCAGTTTATCATGCTTGCAAATATTAGATTGTCTTGGTATGGCTATTTCAGCCTCAGTGACAATAAGTGTAAAATAGCACCAACATCTTGCTAAACTTGGCACCCTAGAAAGAATTGCAGTTTATTCATGCAGTGAATATTTATGAAGTGCGGACTATATGTGCTGGACCTTATGTTCAGCACTGGCAAATACCCATGGTTCTCACCCTCAGTAATTTTATAGTCGTGTGGGAGTCTCACTATCTTGATCTAGGATCTTGAGCTAAGTTTCTTAATATTTTGGGTCACAGTATCTGTATTTCTAAAAGAAAGGAAAGATTTATATAGTGCTGTGTGTCTCCATTTTTCAGAATTAGATTATTAAGTTTTGTTAATTGGTTATTCTTCCTTTGAGAAAAAAGGGATGGGATGCATCTGTAAACCATCAGGTTAGGACATAACATATTTAATTATACTTAGGTAGACAAAGGCCATCTATATGTAGAAGCCATTTATTGGCGCATTACCATTTTATTTTAGAACTATAATGAATGAACTGATGGAAAAAACACAATTACTTGGACATGAAATTAAGGTATATTAGGCAAACAAATTCTATCCTCATAACAAGTTCCTGCCCTCTGATAACTGCCTCTCCATGCATCAGATTAAGAAATGTAGCAGATTACGTTTAGTTGCTAGATTACAGAATAAATTTATGGTTTGACAGTTGTTTGGTGATGTTTCTTCCTCAAAGTCTTGCTATATATGTATTCATTTCATCAAAGAGTGACTGGGTATTAAGTATCTGCAGATCAAATGTCAAGCCCTGTGCTTCAGTTTGCCAGAGTCAGTATGGATTTGGATAATTTACCATAGGGAAGTAAAAGAATCAATCTCAATTGAAATAATGCTAATCATAGAGAGCAAATAGTAATTTATTATCTTTGCTTTGGTTTAGTTCTAATAATACACACCAGTGTTTGGAAAAGTCACATGGCAACTTGCGCTTACATCCTTTATGACACATACATAGTAGAAAAAAATAGGTAAAAATGTTAATTCTGGAAGTCACAATTCATTGAGACATTTGGGGCCAGGAGCAAAATAGCAATGAAGTAAATCTTTCAGCTGTAAATCAATATTTTTATAATAAGAACATTGATTTAAATTATGTTTTACAAGCTACAGAAGTTGTGCAAAAGCCATTAAATTTGCATTTTTTTTTGTTCTAAATCGTGGAACATCCCTTCACATAGCATTCCTGAAATTGTCGTTAGTTACCAAATTTAAAAGTACAAAATTAAGAAAAACCTCACGTTGTATCAATTTTGAAAGGACACATTAGTTTTGGTTTCATCAATCAAACCACACAGGTTTTAAAATATGACTCAATACCTTGAAAGTAGATTTTGTCAATAGGCAGGGTATACAAGTTACAGCGATACTAAGGGGAACAACAGGAAAATAGTTTATCATGAAAGTTTTTGAAACAAATTAGAAATGGCTGTCAAATCTAATGTAGAATCACAAGATGATAGGATAATTGGTCTTTAATTTTGCAAATTTGAGAAGAGAGCAGGAACAAGTGAAATTCTCCTCCTCAGGAAAGGAAAACACACAAGTAGGCAGCCTGAGTGTAATAATGATCGTGAAGGAAACGAACAAGTTGATAAGAGACTATTTTAGTTCGAGTTCACACCTTTCTATTAAGGAGAGAAATGGATGAGTCAAGACTCACTTTGAAAGCAGGCACCACGTTTCTCCTCTGTAAGGTGTGAAATGAGAAGGGATAAAAAACAACCTCTTTCCCTACTCACCAGCCTCCCTTTCTGCTTTTAATTGAGGATAATCAAACTGCTTTACTCTGTGTGAGCTGCTGTCATGAAATACTGTAAACTAGGTTGTCTTTAAGCAACAGAAGTTTGTTTCTCATGGTTCTGGATCTGAGGAAGCTCAAGATCAAGTCTCGAGCGGACTCAGCATCCAGCGAGGGCCCACTTTCTGATTCTTACATGATGCTTTCTCATTGTGTCCTCAAATGATAGCAGAGGAAAGCAGCTCTCTGGGGCCCTCTTTTGTAAGGATACTAACCCCATTCATGAAGGCTCCATGGTCACAGCCTAACAGTATCCCAGAGGCCCCACCTCCTAATACCATAGTACTGATGATTATCTTTCAGCATAGGGGTTTGGGAGGAACATCACACATGCCAACCTAACAAGGTTGCGAGATTTAAATTGGACAATGGACACAAACACCCTGTTCATATTAGGGATTCTAAAGTATCAATTCTCTTCCCTTTTGCAAAATATAATCAGTCTTGAAGCTCAGTAGCTAGAAGTCATTGATGGCAGGCTAAAAATTGCATAGAATAACAGGTTCTGTTTAGACCAGGAAGGAGCAGTCATAATGGAGTCCAAGATGTACATTAGCTTCAGCTTTGAGAAAACAGCACCATGATCTATTTCTCTGGGCTGTGAAGGTTCAAGTGAAATCCCATGTGTGACAGGTTCAAGTGAAATCCCATGTGTGACAGGTTCAAATGAAATCCCATGTATGACAATACTTTGCATGTGGTTGTTTATAAACATTAGGTTCTCAAAAATTAGAATAAACAAAAAATACTGCAGCCCTTCTTAATAGCACAAAATTCTGAATATTGGTGTTTCACGTTAGTATTCAAAATATATTCTCAATTCCCTTGCCTCTATCATGGTGTATTCTCCCAGCATGTTCTCTGTTAACTTCCACAAGGGGAAGGGATTTGGCCATTTTCTTTCTTGTTCTCCAGAACAATACTGAGATCACTTATAGGTCTTTGGTAAGTATTGACTGAGTAAGTGAACTAAAAACTGAGAGTGGATTTTAAAAGAGGTTCACATAAAATTGTGATAGAATTTTTCTGTATTTATCATTTTGCAGTGACCCTTCATGTTTCCATGAAGATAAATTATATTTTAATATTTGTAGTCAACTTTGTGGCACGAAATTTTCACATTTACATCAGGTGTTGTTGAGGGACTAAAAAGAAGCTATAGTCACCCTGACAGCATTAAGTCAATAACTGCTGCAAGGACAGTTTATTCTGGAAGCATTTTTTTGTTTTTTCTTAACTTTGTCTCTAGCACTGATAAAAATTAATTTTTGTGTTCTCTAATTGATTCTGCACAAAAAAACAGAAATGTCATCTTAAAACTGATCAGTTATCTCACTAGGAGGCAGTCTACCATGATTAGTAATTTGGCTTTCGGAATAAGAAAGAATAGAGTTGATTTTTTTACTCTGTGACTTGCGCAAGTTAACTAAGGAGCCCTTTATTCACTTATGAAGTGAGGATGATATTTATACCATTGTATTTTTTTTTTACAAGAATCAAATGATATAACACTTAGGTAAATGAAACTCATATGAAGAGTAATCCAGAGTCCATACACCCACTCGTAATTTTCCTTCTTTTACTAGTGGTCCCTCCAACTGCCACGTGTCATCCTAACTCATGCTCCAGAGTAAAACTACACAGAAGCTTTTCAGCTAGACCTACCGAGAATAGCCAGTACCATGCTGTCTTTCAGAACTTCCATGGAGCCCGAGCATACAAAGTAGATGGCCTGCAACGCATCCCCCTGACGCAGCAGATACTCGCCCGGAGCACAGAAAGACGTTTTGATGTGCAAAGACAGAGACCTGAGGCAGCCCCGGCTGGCACATTCAAACAGGGACAGCTGCAAGATCTCCTTGTTCAAGTGCATAGTGATGTCAGAACGCAGCTCATCTGGAAAGTCTTTCAAAAGCTGTGGGAGAAGGGAAAGGATGAAATCAAACTGAGGTAGTACAGCCTAATTGATTTACACTGCAAGAACACAGGATGCTTTTCTGCTGTTTGGTTAACCAGTGTGTACAAGAGGAAGTCTGCGTATGCACAGTTTTGGAATTACTTTTCAATGACTGACTTTAATTATGTGCTACTGAATGATCAACTGATAAGTCTGGAGAAATAGAAAAACTGAATACAGGGACTTGGAAGGAAAACATTAACTCATTATGACTTCTCCTAAAAATTTCTTTGGGGACAGAAGTTATAGAATAGGGACCTGATGGTATTTCGGGTGATCATGGCAACATGATCACATGAAAAAATGAGAAATCAAATTTCCATTCCTAAAATGTTCCTCAACTGGGCTGGTTGGTAGGTTGGTGTGATGCTTGGTTGATTTCGATGACACTTTTTCACAGTGGTGGTGTGGGGTAGTCATGGAATCTGCATATAACACTTTGGCTAGAATTTTTGGGTCTTACTTTGTCATTTCTAATGGCTACTTTAGCTTGATTAATATAAGTATCCAAGATCACACCATTATCTTATCATAAGAATTGGTTCTTCAAAAAAGGGACAATGCAAATGGGAATAAATCTATTTGATTGACCAAGGGAGCAGTTTATGTAAAACACTGGTTAGTTCAGAGTGGGATTAGGAACACATAAGCCAAAGATGAATTGAGTTTCATGAGGGATTAAACAAAAGAGAGGTAATGAATTGTCTAAGTGTGTTTGTCACTTCTAATATTTGCTTTTGAGCATCTTGTTTTTACCTTATGATATGTGATTTCTGCCTGAAAACATCAACAGTAAAAAATGAACATTACCTCATTGGAATCTATTCCATTGTTGACTGACCAGGTTGTTTGAAAATATTCAAGCATCCTCTGCTTGAGCTGTTGAGGCAGGTGATGGACACGAATGAAGTCCTTCAGATCCTTGGTTCTGGTGTGGTAGAGAGACCATCGGGAGTACATCCTCTGTATAATGGCCGTCACGTTTCCAAATACCAAAGCATGCATCAAGGCTGGAGAGAGCACAACATATAATGAGAAATTTACAGTCTAGGTGTCATGGAGCAAGGCATAGCACTATATGTGGCTGTACCGATACAGCTGTTTTACTATAGTTGCTATAATCCAGCTGTTTTGTCACAGGTTGCATCCTGAAATAGCTGGAGATTGGTGGGAGTTAAAAAGTAAAAATTGTCAGTAATATTCAAAATAAGCTCTTTGTTCATTCTCATTACTTTAGCTGTCATCTGGTTATAAAAACTTATTTTAGATTCTATCCACACCTATATGTTTTAATATTTATGGGCAGGATGTGGTGACACAGACCTGTGATCTTAGCTACTCGGGAGGCCAAGATGGGAGGACTGTAAGTTTGAGGCCAGCCTGGGCAACATGGAAAGAGACAGTTTCAAAGTAAAGTAAAAAGAGGCTTGGGATGTTGTTCAGTGGTATAATTCTTGCTTAGCATGTGTGAAACCCTAGGAACAAGCCCCCCCAACACACACACATGCACACACACAAAGTTATAGATAGTTTAATAAACATGAGAAAATAGATTTAATGATTTAATAGATTATACTATAAATTTATAGCTTAATTCTTTATTATAAAAAATTTTAAAAATAAACACTGCAACTAGTTAGTGTATGTGGGAATTTTATCTCATCTCGTAAAAGTCATCATTTAAAATTAGTTTTATAATGTTAAATATTATACATTTGCACTCGCTGAGTATTGAGGAATGCACTAGAAATACAATTGAGGAGTTCTTGATCAGTCTGAAGCTGAGAAGAATACAGTTCCAACCTTTCCCCCATCCCAGGTCTGCTGTCAAATTTGAGAACGTTCAAGACAGAAATAAATGCACAGAGGAAGAGGAAGAGGGATTTTCTGCAGAGTCAATGCTGCCATCCTGAGAAGAGCCAGCACGGCACATGTATACGACATTCCTGTTACAAGGAAGTTGGGCAGTCGGTAGGTATGTCACCTTTCTTCCCCATGGAGTATCTTTGTTTCCACAACTACTACTGCAGCATAATGAAAGTCTCAGTTCGACAACATAATCAGAGGGTGATGAGTTTGAGGATAGCGTCCCCCCACCAAAAGGGATAGCAGAGAGTATGGACCTCACTTTCCAGGAACTGCCTGCATTGGAGAGTAGCTGCTAACCCTAAGCCGAAAAAAAAAGCATGGTAGAATTTTGTACTCCAAGTCATCAACAGACCGGAACTGGAATGGCCCATGAGACACCGGCCGAAAACCCAGAAGGCTTGGATTTAGCTGGGGCTATGAAATTAAAAGAAGAGAAAGAGCCAGATGTACTTGTATTTATGAGCAGATTAGTTCTAAGTGATGTTCAGATTTTAGCCTGGATCCTCATTCTAAGAAACTGGCAATGAAGGAAGAAGCTCAGGGTTTGAGTGAAATCATCTGTTTCAGAAGTTTTGGGTTAAAAAAAAGATTAAAAATTCAGTAGTTTGTCTACTGCAATGAAATCTCAATGTTTAAGGGGCTATTTTAAAACTTTCTTGGCATCAAAGCAGACATTAGTGTAAATGTGTTAACATTTCCTTACAGTTTCCTTCCTGAATATTACAGGGCAACCTCAATTCAATTTTTTTTTCTGTACATTTACTAGAAATTGGATAACAAAATTAAATTTAAGTCTGAAATTAGAATCCTTAAAAATGTTATATATGATAATTTCTCTACAGAATAATGGAGAGCATTCCTTAATAGCAGTATGTCACTATTTTGTAAAGTTTACTAAAATAATGTTAACCTTAAGTTCCAAACACAGAAGACAATATAATGGTTCCCTGAGAATATGGACTTCACAATCAAAAGGGTTGAGATCTGAATCTTAACTCTGTCTACCTCTTTCTAATTGCGTGAACTTGTCAAGTTATATAATTCTTTTACATGGACTCATTTTCCTCATATTCAGAGGGAGTACGAATACCTTATTCATACAGCCATTTTTAAGATTTAAAGAGTATATACTGCATACAAACATGCATTTAAAAAAAAATATTTAGTATATGGGTGAAAATGGTGGTTGTTCAATTCCTGATCTTTTTCCTATGGAAAAAGTGTTAGCATGAAAGTTCAATTTGTTCAGTGTATGCTCAAACTTCAGTATGCTCCACTGAGGACTAGGACCCAGATTTAAGATTTTCGTGTTACTTCTTAAGTAGTGGAGAATGACTCTTAATGAAAATCACTTCCTGATGAAAAATTTCAAGAAGTATTCAACAAATGCCTACAAGCTGAACATGGTGGTGCACACCTATAATCCTAGCACTTAGGAGGCTGAGGCAAGAGGATCACTGTAAGTTTGAGCCCAACCTGGGTCACATAATGAAATCTTGTCTCAAAAAAACAAAACAAACAAACAAACATCAAAAAGTACGTGCAACATGCAGGTGCATGTAAACATATATTATTCCTAAATGTTCAAATGTGAAATATGCCTCCAAAATGGAAAAAGTCATCCCAAGAAAAATATATACTACTTATCAACTTAAAGTTGCATGGCTTTTTTGGGGATTCTAAATAGTTTCTTTATTCTGTATGGTTTTATAAGCACAACAGTTCCAAATCTTAAGTATTTAATTTGGAAAAGAAGATTTCTATTTATGATAAATACTCACCAAAGAAAAGAACTGATTCTGCTCCAAATCAAGGAATTTAAACCCTGATTTCAAGGTCTGGTAATACACTTATGGGCTGTGTTTGCAAGCCTTACTGTCTTTAACACTATGTAATAGTCTTTTCATGGAGATTAAACTGAGTTCAGAGAACAATTTTATTTCACTTATTTCTTAACACTGCTTTCCTTAATTATGTGTGTGATTTTAACTTTGCTTCGCTTAATTATAATGTGTAAAGTACTTAAAGTAAGAGAAGTAATGTGTTCAGATCATTTAGCATTGGAATTGTACATTATCAACAAACTGAATTACTGGATTAATTGTAGTATTCATAAGTGTTGTTGGAAAGTACTAGTCTATGTCTTAGTCACCATAATTTCAAAGTCTCATTTCAGCATAGGAAACTACTTCTAATTTAAGGAGTTAAAAAAAAAATAAAACCATGGCTCTCATAGTTTGTCACTTTCCCAAATTATTATGGCCTTTCTGTCACTGATTTTCATTTCACCCTGGCAAAGAGTATATATAACTGTCAGACTAAATCATTCCATCTGCTATAAAGTTTGACTCAAGAACTTCTATATCCAGGTCGGTTTGAAAATTACCACTCACTTTTCCTTCACTCTTAGCAAATTTGATGTGTATAACGCTTGAGGGCTAGACCTGCTGAGGTGTGGGAGGCTCTTTTTCCTCATGGAGGAGTTTTGCATAAAATGTATTTTGTAAAATCTCATCTCAGTATCGTGTCATTGGAGGCAACTTAACAATTGAGATCACAGGCGAAAGTAAGCATATGCCAAGTGAAAGGAAGTCGTGTAAAACGGTCTGACTTTTGCTTTTGCTTTCTCTTTCCTTTTCCTTTTCCTTTTCTTTTTTCCCTTTCCCTTTCTCTTCCCTCCCTGGATTTAGGGCAACTTTGGGCTCCTAGGATATAACAAAATTGCTGATTTCTTTAGCTAACTATTCTGCAGTGGCTTTTGAATCTTGCCATGAGCTGATCTTTCCTGATATAAAAAGAGAGCAGAGCTTCCATTTTAGGTAATCTTAGCAGTCCTACTCTTTGCTCTCACCTCCTGGATGCTCTGCATCTCTCCATTCTTTATTACAAGTTTACAGGGTTGTGGATAACAGATGGCACAGAATATAAAGTGAAAAAAAAATCCTAGATAATGAATTTAAATAGCAGTGCAAAGGCATCTTAAAAATGGCCTGGATTGATGGACAGTACAGCTCACATGGCTCCAATAAAATTCTTTGCAGGAAATATGTATAGCATTGACTGATCCAAGGAGAGCATCCGCTGCTTCACAACAATAATGTTTCACTTAAAATGGAATGTCCTCAGAGCTAAGCGTGTGTACCAGGACGCTTTATCTAATTCCCAAGACTGACTTGATAGTTAGGGCAAATGTATAGGCAGTCAATACTAAGTATGATCGAAGAATGTCTGCAGACTGGGAAAGATATCTTTAATGTGTTTTGTCTGAGGCAAAAAATATACACATACTTAGACTAAGTATTTCAGACAACAGGGACATGCGTAGATATGTTTAAAAAGATTGAAAACCTGTTTTGAGGGTGAGATTGTACATACTACAAAAATTTTATGTATTATCAGTCTTTCCTAAATGTGGACGATAAAAGAAAAAGTGAAAAGGAAAGAAAATTATTTATTTAAATATCTATTACTGTTACTAGCTTATAGACTCCTTGAAAGAAAGAGCTCTATTTTTTATACTTTTCTTTTTCTTTCTCCCATTCCTCTCCCCTCCCTTCACCTTTCCCCTGCTTTATTTACAAAGCTTTGTTTCCATTCATTCTTCTTTTCTCACTTTTTCTTCCTTTCCCTCTCCACTCCTCCTTATTTCTCCTTTCCTTTTAAAGAATTTATTCATATTTCACAATATCTATTGTACATTTTGTATTTTTGTACTTTGGTACATATTATACTTTCAGTTTCTCACACCAGAGAGACAATACAATATTTACACATGTGTCCAATTTATTTCACTTAAGAGTATTTATGGTCTCAAGGTGCAATCCTTTAGTTGTAAGCGCTTCAAGCTTATCCTTCTTTATGGCTAAGTGCTACTTCACTGTATAAAATAAAACACATCTTTTTTATCCGTTCATTAGGTGATGGGTATTTAGGTTGTTTCCATGATTTAGCTATTAGAAGCTGCACTGCTATAAACATGAGTACACATATATTGCTGTGGTATGATGCTTCTAATTCTTTTGGAATAATACCAGGAAGAGGAACAGCTAGGTCAAATGAGACTTCTAGTTCTGGATTTTTGAGAAATCTTCACAATGATTTCCACAGTGATTGCATCAGTCTGTATTCCCACCAAGTCTAT